TGCAAGGAAAAGGGAGTGGCGATTCCCTCTAGTGAAGAAGGCTCCAAGCCCTTCTCTTGAAGTGGCTTTTATTGAGAATGATAAGCACAGGGGTATACAGTATTTATGCAAAGCTCATCAATCCATGTCAAAAAGCTATGATTGAAGGAACACAGAGATTTGCCTCAGGTCAGGGTCTGGTAGACAGGGTGACACCTCTTCACCCCTGAAACCTGGGAAACTGATCACATACTATGCCTGACCCCAAACATCAGTACTCATTAACTTGAGGTCATTCTTAACAAAGTAAGTTTCATAGGATTTAATGTATTCCTTTTCCAGGCCTAATTGTCCCCAGGAACTGCCCGATCCAGTTTAGGGCTGTACCTGCCTTTAGTATTGTTTCACTGACCTGGTCAGGCAGCTGGGCAGAGCAGCCAAGAGATAAGGAGACTTCTTTCAGATAGAATGAGGACTCCAGCCATGAAAAAGCCAAAGGGTGAGGGTCTTTTGCCTCCTGTCCGTGTTCCCCAAGTCCTTCCCCGATGGCCCCCACACGACTGTGCCTGTCTTAGGTTGCCCCTGCCATCGAGGGGTCTTACCCATCATTGACTAATCAGCCATCCTCCGGGACCAAGTAGGGTAATCTGAGGGCCTGTTTTGTCTCCTCAGTGGCCTATTTTCCCAAGGCCTCCTTGCTCAGGTTCAGCCTTAAGGCCCTCTTGCCTGTGGGTGAGGCTACAGTCCCTGAAACCAGACAAGACAGTTCCCAACAGTTTACCTTTGTGATAGTTCATTATTGTTGAATAAAAAGTAATTGATTTCTGAATACTTATTTTGTGTCCTGCCACATTACTGAATTTATCAGTTCTAGTAGTTTTTTGGCGGAATCTTTAGGGTTCTCTATAAATAGTATCATGTCATTTGCAAGTAATGACACTTTTACATCTTCCTTTTTAATTTGGATACCTTTTATTTCTTATTTTTGTTTGATTGCTGTGGCAGGGACTTCCAGTACCATGTTGAATAAGAGTGATGAAAGTAGACATCCCTGTCCTGTTCTTTATCTTAAGGGAAACACGGTTATTTTTTCCCTGTTGAGTATTATGTTAGCTGTGGGTTTGTTCTATATGCCTTTTGTTTTGTACATTTTTAAAGAGTTGTAAAAAAAAAAAGAATTATGACAAAGATTATATGTGCCTCACAAAGGTTAAATTATTATGGTGTGGCCCTTTATCAGTGAGGTTGCTAATCCCTGCTACAGAGTCTTGATATTGGAAGACAGCTTGATTAGCTCTACCATCCTTGGCTTAAACTTTCTTCCCATTGACTTTTTTTTTAAATGTTGTTCTACTAATGTCTTGTTCTATATATTTCTATAAAAAAGTATGACACAGCCTTGTTTGCTTGTGTGTGTGTGTGTGTGTGTGTGTGTGTGTGTGTGTGTGTGTGTGTGTTTAAATATTTGTAAGCTGCCTTGGATGGTTTATCCTGGAAGGCCAGAGAATTTCTTTAATGTGTAATAATTTTATCAGGCTATATCTCATTTGAGAATTCTAGGTCAAATGTTATTAGATAAACAGTGGGCTCCGTCAGTATGAAAATCAGGACTTTTGTTTCAAGAATGTTTTCTAAAATTAGGAAACACTTTAAATAGCAGGTCCATTCCACTTTATTTTTCTTTTTCAGGGATCATAATTAGTGTTATCTTTATCTTTTATATTTGTTACTTTTTCTCTGATCTATTCTACTATTTTCTTTGTGTTTCATTTTCTTTGCCCCTTTTATTTATATTTTTCATTATCCTTACTATATATTTGGTCATATCTGTTCCTCCTTGGATGACTGTTGATTTATTTATTTGAGACAATTTTATTTTTTCCTTAATTTCTTCTGTTTGGCCAACTTTTATTTCATGTCTTCTTATTTTTTATTTTTATTTTCAGTTATTTTTTTTAGAGTGTTAATATCTGCAAAAACTTGCTTAGTATATTTTATCTAGGTTGGGAGTGTTAAGTTTTATCTGCCTTAGGGCTGACTGTTTTTTAAATTTGTTTTGGTTTAGTTTTCAATTTTGAGGGAATTTATTTATTTTCATTTTATTTTGTCCATCACCACTTAACCCCCTATACCTTCTCCCCCCACCATCCGACCCCCTACCCCAGCAATCACCACACTGCTTCTGTGTTCATGAGTTCTTTCTCTTTTTTTTTCTTTTTTATTCAATCCCTATATCCCCTCAGCTCCCCTACCCAAAGCTATCAGCTTACGTTCTGTCTATGAGTCTATCTCTATTTTGCTTGTTAGTTCAGTTGTGAGGATTTTAAAAACCTGTGTGAATGCTAGATTGTTTTGTAAATATTGTTTATGTTTACTTGTATTGGATTTTTCATTATCAGTAATAACAAACTTTGAGGTGTTCTTAGAGCGAAAGAGAGCGGTAGTTAGATGGTTTTTCTGCTTCTTAGGTTAGGAGCACCCTCTTCTGTTGGTACAACAAAATGCAGCTATTTATTTTTAAATAAATGGAGTTTTGGGGAAGAGGAGGTTTGTTTTCTTTGGATATTTTTCCTACTAATTTAATTCTTTTTTTTTTAATTTTTATTTTTGTAATATATTTGATTGATTATGCTATTACAGTTGTCCCAATTTTTCCTCTTTTGTTCCCTTGTTCCCAGTTTCCCCATTCCCTCCCTTAGTTCATGTCCTTGGGTCATGCCTATTAAGTTCTTTGGCTACTCCATTTCCTCTACTATTCTTAACAGCCCCCTGTCTATTTTGTACCTACCAAAAAAACTTCTTAATCCCTGCACCTTTTTCCCCATTCTCCCCTCTCCCCCTCCCAGCTGATAACCCTCCAAAATGATCTCCATGTCTATGATTCTGTTTCTGTTTTTCTTGTTTGCTTTTTCTTTTTAGATTCAGTTGTTGATAGTTGTGCATTTGTTGCCATTTTAATGTTCACTGTTTTAATCATCCTCTTTCATTTAATTCTTCAGAGGTCTTATCTTAGCCATTTTCTTCTTTACTCTTATCACCAAGCCCAAAGGAATACCTCTCATTGTCAAAGCGTTTTCCTCTCAGAAGCTACGTATTCCCATGATTAGCCCCACTGGCCCCCTATATTTTACAGGCCCCTTTCTTCTGGGTTCCTCATAGAAAGTGCTCTGATTTGCCAGATCTTATTCTTACTCTCAATATTTCTTCATTGCATGGGAGCAGCCTCTTATTTCAGAAAAAAACTGTGGTTTATGTTTACTATGTTATCTGTTCATAGTTGTCAACTGATGGTCATTGGCACCAATTCAACAGCAAGAGAAATCTCCAAGTTGGGCTGTGGTAAAGAAGGAAATTTTATTCAGTGCAAAACAGCTCAATTGTGATGCAGCAGGGCTGTGATGTGGAACCAGGCCTCTCTCCATCTTGCCAGCTGTGCTTTGCATCCTTACTGGTCTGCTCTGCTCTGTTCTGTTCCATTATGATCTGCTTTTCACTGTGCTCATCTGCTCCATTCTGTGCCACTCTGCTCTGTCCTTTGTTGGCCTGTTCTACTTTGCTTTGGTGAGACATCTTCCATGTTTCAGCTCAGCCAGGAGAAAATCCTTCAGTATTTGGCAAAAAGGAAAGTATGCTCCCAGAGCCAGAGGGGAGCTGGCTTATATAGAAAGAAGTACCCGCCCTTGGTCCCTGATTGGTCTGTTCTCATGCAAGTGAGGATTCCAAATTTTCTAGTAATTTGGTCCAAATGGCACTTTTCTGATAGGTCAGAATGGAGCTGCTCTGATTAGTCAGTGAATATGCTGATGGGAATATAGCTAAGCAGCTCCAATTGGATGGGGAAAGCATGAGCCCTATGGGTTCAAATGAGGCTCCAGGAACAACTCCGTAAGGGCTGGCTCAGGTTGCACAAATACAATTTAGGCAAGCAGTTCAGTGTAGAGACAGACAGTTCAGTGCTGGCTTCTCTGTGAGGTGCAGTTTGCATGAGAGGCCCCTGTGCAGAAATGGCTGCTAGACTCTGTTTTTTAGAACTTGAGCCCAGTTAGCCACTAGGAGCCCATCTTAACAGTTACCTTCTTTCTCAGGGTCTACATATTTCTAATGCATAGTTACTTCTGACTCTACTCAGTTGTTGGCTCCTAGACACACTCAGCTGGTCTAGTGTGTTTATTTCCCTACTTACATGTAGATTAAAGCATGTGTAAATTAAAGGATTCTGTGCTGTAGACATAAATTATGGGTGATTTTATTTGCTTTCTTTTTATAGTAGTTGGGAGGATGCTGGAGAGATTTTTATTTTAGGTGGTTGCCATTATCCTGTGAGAACCTGATTTTGTAAGTTAAGAAAATAAAATAACATAAACTTGAAAAAGAATAATGAAACAAAATAGTAGTGAGGGTTTAAGAAAGATAAAGTAGAAACTAATAACTTACAGAAGTACAAAAATACTAGCAGTATTGAAACAATTCAAGATCTATAAAGTGGTGGAGGGAGAAACAAACATCAACATGGCTGAGGCTTGTGGTGGCTTATCAAAAATGGGCAGAAACACAAAAAGCAGGAAAGATAAAGGTGCTATAACACAAATAAAGAAGAGATAAAATATATGAAAAGAAGATGTGTGCAAAAATTTGAAAATGTGATAGTGTCCTATTTTCTAAGCAAATATAAATGATCAAAATTGACTCATGATGAAAAAAATCATAGCCAGCTTAGAAAAGTTTAAACATTACCTACCATAAAAAGCAACTAAGATCAGAAACATTAGAGGGAGATCATGTTTAGACAACAATAATAGATTCTTTTTCTTAAATTTTACATTTGAAGCCATTCCAAGTAATAGTGGAATGGAGACGTTGGAGTACAGGAAAGAGCCTGGAAGTATAAATACATATAAGCCAAAAAAATCACAATATAAGTAAAAAAATGTATTGTTGTTATACATTATCAAATGTTTATAGATGGGTAAAAATAATATATCACCCTACCAAATCTTACTGATTTTCATATTTTCTTTCAGCTAAGGATAAAAGAGTGCATCACCTTACCAGGTCTTACTGATTTTCCTTCACTTCCTTGTCAACCTGCTGCTTTTCCAGAAATACCTGATATCTCTTTACTACAGATTGAGAGTAAGTATGATAACACCATAAGTACAGATGATTTTGTGAGATAAAGTTAAGTGATATTAATGGGGAATTATTGTTTGATAAGTAACAAATTTCAGTTTGAGAAGTTAAAAAAAGTTCCAAAGAAAGATAGTGGTGGTGGTTGCTTAAGATTATCAGTGACTTAATGCCATTGAACTATACACTAAAAATGGTTAAAATGATAATTTTATTATGTATATTTTACCACAAATAAATTATATTATTTTAAAGTATATACATTTTATGTTAATTAGTGCATATGTTTAGTCACTAATATGATTTCTGCTTTAAAAAATATACCCTAAAATTTGCATTTTCATGTAAGATTTAAGTACAATAACTTTAGGCCCAAGATAAATTTACCAAAAGAATTAAACCAAGGCATATTACTACATGAGCTTTACCTTAATTGACCTAGTTTTACACATGTATGGGACATACTGTGTTCTTCACATATATGTAAATCCACTTATGTATCACTCTTAGAAAGTGAAATAACTACTTAGTGTTTTCCATAAAGACAAATACTATATTGCAGAGAGAAAAATAGAATTTTGGGTAAAATTTATTCTTACTGATTTAAGTACTCTTAAGTTTTACACTATATATTTTAGGAAATGAACCATTTTTTAGCTTTTAGACATTGATTGTATGGGTTATATTTTAGGAAGGAAGATTATCAAACAAATGAAACGAGTAAAGGAAGAAAGAAAGCATCTCCAAAGAATTAGAGAAGAGCTAATAAAAGTTGAAAAGCAATATGAACAAAGTACATTGAAACAATATCATGGTAAAGTTTATTACATATCTTTTATCACTATAAAAAATTTAAGTTTTACAGAATTTATGCTTTTTAATATTTACTATTTTACTGTTATGGTTTAAGTGGTATACTTGATATAAGTTCAATACAGAAAACATTAAATTATGTTCAACTCTAATACAGTAAATGCAACATGCTTTATGTAAAGTGTTTTTTATTAAAATTCAAAAATTTTCCCAAGGGACATATATTTATTCATTCTTCTATCATTTACTAAAGAAAGTATCTATTAAGTGCCTACTGAATTTGGCCACTGTTCTAGGGGCTGATACTAATAGGTAGGCACAATCTTGTCCCTACCCTCAAAGAGCGTGCAGTCCAATGGGGAAATGACAATCAGGTTAACCAGTAATGATACATCCTGATGAGTAATATGATAAAGGAATTATAGAACTCTACGCAGGAATACAGAGGGAGACCACCTACATTAGATGGAAGAGATAAGAGGAACATCCAGGAAAAGATGTGTTAGCATCTGAAGTGTGCCTCCTCTTGGATTCAGGCCTCCAGGCATGGTTTTCCCTCTGCCATTTACATCTCCTTGTCCTACCTTCTTCTTTTATTTTCTTCCCATTTCAACTGGCCATTTTCTCACTAATCATCCACTCTCTGCATAAGTCTCACTTTAGAAGCCTGGATTCCTTAGTCTCCTCAAGGTGCTTAATTTTTTGATGTGTGTCTGCCTGCTTTGCTAAACTGAATAATCAATCAATCAATCAATCAATAGGAATTAGGTAAGAAGTAGGTAGTTTCCTTGCAATAGAAATAGAAACATTGTTGTTAGGACTTGTAGAAGTGGAAAAAATAAGCCAGGATGGAGAAAGTATAGGTTAATGGCATGGGGGATGTCAAATGATTTTAGAGTCCTGTGTTTGGGCTGTATTTGAGAATTATAAGAGTAACAGGCTCATATGGAATTAACTGGTTTTAGGATTCTTAATTTACAGCAAAATTATTGCTTCAGTACTAGAATTGACTGAAGGTTATTGACAATTTCAGGAGACATTTTTGAAGGTTCTACATCCTAATATTAAAATGTATTCTGAAAGTGGTGGCAATGACTCAGCCTTGTTGCCCTTTAAATGAGCAATTTTATTAGACAGATTCAAGGAATGGACTAGAAATTGAAAAATTGATTCTAATACCAGATCAATATTTTACTTAGGCAGGTTATTTCTTCTTTGTGCCTCACTCTTTCCATTTATAAAATGAGAATGATCAGTCGCCTTCCATTTTAACAGGAATGTTTCAAATTAAAGGCATGTATCAGCCATTAGATATTTATTGAGCCTCTTATGTGCTTCAATTTCAGCATTTTTTAAAATTTTTATTTATTGATTTTAGAGAGAGAGAGGAAGGGAGAGAGAGAAAGAGTATTCATTGGTTGATTTTCATATGTGTCCTGACAGGGGATTGAACCAGCAACCTTGGAGTATCAGAATGATGCTCTAACCAACTAAGCCCCCTGGCCAAGATTCCATCATTGATTTTTTTTTTCTAAAACAAAATTTTTTTTTATCTTCACCCAAGGACATGCTTATTGATTTTAGATGGAGGAGAAGGGAGGGAGAGAAACATTGATGTGATACTCTCCCTGACAGGAGACTAAATCACAACCCATTGCCTGCTGGATGATGCCCAATCAACTGAGTCACACTGCCCAGGACTCCAGCATTGTTTTAAATGCTGAGGATATAGTAGTAAATAAGACAGACATGGCCCTTCCTTTAAGGAACTTGCTTAACAAATAAGATGATATCAGCTACTAATTAGAGCTGAGAAGTCAATTGAAAAGCATGTACTAAAGAGTGATGAGCAGGACAGATTCTTTAGCTAGGGTTTCCAAGAGCAGCATGTCTGTGGAGATACCGTTAAGATTTGATTATTAAAAAGGCAAGTATGTAAAGAGATACTGGGGAAACAGTAGGAACAAAAGGAACACTAAATGTCACAGTCTGAAGATAGGAATGAGTTTTCAGTCTTAGGATGTGAAATAAGGCCAGTATGGCTGGAGTATGGTAACTAAGGAGGAATGTAGAGGAAATAACATCAAAAGTTCAGCAAAAAGCCCTGGCTGGGTGGCTCAGTTGGAACCTCATCACATACACCAAAAGGTTGCAGGTTTGATTCCTGGTCAGGGCATATACCTAGGTTGTGGATTCAGTCCCTGGTCAGGGTGAGTACAGGAGGCAACTGATCAATGTTCCTCGCTCACATTGATGTTTCTCTCTCTTCCCCTTCCTCTTTCTCTAAAAACAAAACAAAACAAAACAAATCAGTACACATATCCTTGGGTAGGATTTAAAAAAAAAAAAAGAAATCCAGCAAGGAACAGATAGGCCAATTCAAGGAATTTGAATTTTATTCTAAGAAAGGTGGGAATCCATTGGAGGATTTTTAAGCTAAGGATTTACATGATTTTTTAAATATTTTAGAATATTCAGAATGACTGCTATATGGTAGCCTGTAGAAGGACAAGAACAGAAGCAGAAAGACTAGTTAGAAAAAAATGCCTACTATATAAGGCATGAGGATTAAATATAGGGCAATAGTTAAAATTTGTAGTTGTTCCATATAGTTATATAATTTTAATTAAATCACCAAATAGAGTTTTTAAATATGGATTTTACTTTTTTTTGATAATCTAAAAAAAATAAACATAAACATAATCTAGTATGCTAGCATGTAGTTGGTGTTGCTGTTAAATTTGTACTTAGAATCTCATCAGTGCCAAAATGATTCCCTAGCTAGCAGTGCTGAATTTCTAATTAAGGGTCTGAGGTTTGAGAAATTCTGTTGCACACAATTTTGGGAATATAGGTGGAATAATCTTAGCAAAAGATGAATCAGAATCACCTGATATCACAAAACATGTCATTTCGAGGGCTGAAAAGATGAAGGAAAAATCAGAAAAAGCATATTATGCCTCCTTCTTTCACAATTATAAATAACTTTTCCATAGTCAAATCAGATTATGGAATAGTGATCAGAATAAAAAAATTGTGCATTTTGCTATACATAATATTTTTAATAAATATTTTCCTGAAGTAGTTATAAGCTTAAAGAAAAACTCGGTCATGGTTTTTAGATATATTGCTATTTTACTATATTTGTAGATAAATACTTTTATTATTTAATAAACATTTCACTCTTAGCTCTAATTTTCTCAGCATATACGGGAGGAGGAGGAGGGAATAGAAGAACTTAAATTAACTCTAGGGTCCTTTTTTATTTAAAAGTTTAATCCTTTAGTCAGACTCAGACTGTAGCCTTTGTTTGTTTTTTATAGCCTGTGATAGTTGGAAGAAAAAATACCTTGAAACAAAGAAAGTGACAGGATCATTGGAGGAGGTTTTAGCAACATTTCGAGAAGATTCAGAACTCTACTATAAAAAACTGCTCACGCAACTTAAAGCCAGGGAGGTCAAGATGAAACCAAAGAATATGGCATACATCACAAACTCTAAGGTACTACTAAATGTGTAGTTCACATTCTATTAGAGAAATTCTATTCAAAATATTTGCTTTATAATTGTTAGTATTAATACACTTAGAATGCTTTGGGCTACAGGTAAAACAAACCTTGACTTAACCTGGCTTAAACCATAAGAAAATTCATGATGCTGAGGAGATACAATCACCAGTGTAATGATACCTTTAAATGTCTAGATGCTTCTAGTATTGGGTTGACCAAAAAGTTTTTATGGTTTTTTTCCTTATGATGGCTCTCATAGAGCTTTAACTTCATTTGAAACAATTTTGTTAGATGGTATTGTGACAGCTGTCATATCAGTGTGCATTTAAAAAATAGTTATCGAAATTGGTGAATTTTTGTGTATCCATTTTAATATTGAAGATAGAAGAAAGTATGCAACATTTTCAGCATATTATGCTTTATTATTTCAAGAAAGGTAAAAACACAATTGAAATGCAAAAAAAGACTTGTGCAGTGTATGGAAAAGGTGCTGTGACTGATGGAGCGTGTCAAAAATGCTTTGCAAAGTTTCATGCTGGAGACTTCTCACTGGACAATCCTCCACAATCAAATAGATCAGTTGAAGTTGATAGCAATCAAATTGAGACATTAATTGAGCACAATCAATGTTATACCATGCAGGCAATAGCTGACATACTGAAAATATCCAAGTCAATAAAGATGTTGGTGATAATGAAAAAATGTGTCTTTTATTTTATGGAAAAAAATGTAATAGACTTTTTGGTCAACACAATATTTCCTCATTAGTCTCAAGTGTTGGTTTGGTTATAAATTGTCTTTCTCTCATAGTAGCAATAGAGTTGCCAATGGCAAGTAGGGTTATATGCTTCCAAATCAAGAAAGAATCTCTTCCAGACAGATGGAACATATAAAACTTGCTCTTTTGCTTGGTGAGGGATCAACCAGGCCTACTCTGGAATAATAATAGTTACCAGGGCATGCTACGTGCTTACTTAGACCAGTTATGAACAATTCTGTACCTGAAGTTAGGGTTACTTTCTCTGATTCTGTAGGAAAGAGATGAACATGTGATGAAAAACAGTGGAGACAAACAGTTATTTATTACATTCCCCTTTCCTTTATGTGTGGGGAGGTTAATAACATTCATGGAATCTCAAATTATTGATTTTCTAAAGAAATTATTAAATTATATTAAATTTTGTCCATGTATTGATTTCTTAAGATAGTCTTGAATGTTGAAAAATCAGAGACATGAAGTTTCTTTTTTTAATTGAGTAATTCCACCATATTATTAAAAAACAAATTCCAGGGGCCATTTATCTGTTTAATTTTTGTTGCCTGATTCCACTTATCCAAAAAAAGTTTTTATAACATGTTAATCATGGTTAAGATTATCAAGTTAACTTTAGACATGATGAAATATTAAAAATTTTGGCTGTCAGTCAAGATGGTGATGTAGGCAGACATGGCTTGCCTCTTCACACAACCTCATCAAAATTACAACTAAAATATAGAACAACCATCACTCAGGAATGTCAGAAATCAAGCTGAATAGAAGTCGGTCAACTACGGAATTGAAGAAACCACATCCATCCAGACTTGTAGGAGGGGCGCAGATGCGGAATGGGCTGGCCCCACACCCATGTGGATAAAAATTTGGGAGGGATATCTCAGGTGTAAGGAGTCCCAGACCCACATCAGGCCCTCCAGCTCAGGATTGCAATGCCAGGAAGATAAGTCCCCACAACTTCTGGCTGTAAAAACCAGTGGGGATTGAGTCAGGGTAGGAGGCTGCTAGAGCCCTAAGCATTTCCTCTTGGGGAACCCATACATGGACTCACCTGTTCAGACTTTCTCCTTCTGAGCTCCAACACTGGGATGGCAGCTTGAAGGGTACCAGTCATATACAAGGAGAGACTGAGTGTCTGGCATAAGGGCGAGCAGAGGCCATTGTCCCTTTGCTGAGTTCTTCCCCACACAGAGCCAGTAGGCTGGTACCATATCTGAGACTCCATCAGCCTGACTAACGCTGTGTGACCCACCTTGGAAATTCACAGAGGCTCAACACCCCCCAAATTAGGGGCCCACCCAAGCTGCTTTTCCATAAGAATGGCTGGTTTTAGCTCCTAAATCCTACCAAACAAGAAACAACTGGGTTCAGTGAGCCTTAGTGGTAGCCAGATTAGAGTCACAGCTTGGCTTCAGCTGGGAATCTCTAAGCCCAGCACAAATAGCAGCCATTTCAGTGCTTTATAGCTCAGGCAGGGTGCCCTGGGCAAAACACAAGTGGGGGCTGACGTTGGCCTGCACCACCTGGGAAACCTCAGGGCCAACTCACCCAGTGAACTGCTACAGGCCACATTGGAGCAACACCACCCTGCTCCGGCACAGCTGATGCTTCACAGAGGGTGGAGGTTGGTGGTCAGCAGTCATAGCCAGTCTTGGCATCTGACTGGCCTGGGCAAATCCCTTCCATTGATCTGCCAACAGCAACTAAGGCTCAACTACAAGAGGAGAGTATACTCAGCCCACACAAAGGGCGCACCTTGAGTACCCAGCTTGAGTGATCGGGGCAGCTGTGCCCCTGGACCCTACAGGACACCTACTATGCTAGACCATACTACCAAGACAGGGAGGAATAGCAGCTCTACCTAGTATATAGCAACAAACACAGGGAGGCTGCAAATATGAGGAGACAAAGCAACATGGCCCAAATGAAAGAATAGATAAAAACTCCAGAAAAAGAGCTAAACAAAATGGAGGTAAGGAATCTATTGGATGCAGAGTTCAAAACACTTTATAAGGATGCTCAAGGAACTTAGTGTGGAGCTCAGCAGCATAAAAAAGACCCAGTCAGAAACAGAGGATACATAATTGAAATTAAGAACAATTTATAGGGAAACAACTGTAGAATGAATGAAGCCAAGAATCAGATCAATGATTAGAAACATAAGGAATCAAAAAGCAACTATGCAGAACAACAAGAAGGAAAAAGTATCCAAAAATATGAGGATAGTATAAACAGCCTCTGGGAAACTTTAAGAGGTCCAACATTCGCCTCATAGGGGTGCCAGAAGGAGTACAGAAAGAGCAAGAAATTGGAAGTCTATCTGAAAAAAATAGTGAAAGAAAACTTCCCTAATTTGGTGAAGGAAATACGCATGCAAGTCCAGGAAGCACGGAGAGTCCCAATTATGATAGCTGCAAAGAAGCCCACTCCAAGACTCATCATTACTAAAAGGCCAAAGATTAAAGATAAAGAGTCTCTTAAAAGCAAGAGAAAAGAAGTTAGTTACTAGAAGGTTGCCAGGTGGGAGGGGAGAGGAGAAGAATGGGTGAAGAGGTGAGGGGATTTAGAAGTACAAATAGGTAGTTACAGAGCAGCAACAGGGATATAAAGTATAGTATAGGAAATGGAGTAGCCAAAGAACTTAGACAAATGACCCATGGGCATGAACAATGGTAGGGGGATCGCCTGAGGGAGAGGGGGATGCTGGGTGGAAGGAGGCAAAGAGGGGAAAATCGGGACAACTGTAATAGCATAATCAGTAAAATATAATAAAAATATTTAAAATGTCCTCATTTATATTTCCCAATTTTATTGAGATACAATTGACTTACAACATTGTATTGATTTAAGGTGCACAACACAATGATTTGATATATATACTGTGAAATGGTTACTGCAATAAGTCTAGTTAATATCTATTGCCTCATGGTTACAACTTTTTTTCTTGTAATGAGAGCATTTAGAACCTATTTGCTAACAACTTTCAAATAAACAATACAGTATTGTTAAAGATAGTTATTATGCTGTACATTACATCACCAGAATTTATTAACTTATAACTAGAGATTTGTACCTTTTGACCCCTTCACCTATTTCCCCCATGCCCCACCCCTGGTGACCACCAATCTGTTCTCTGTTTCTATGAGTAAAAAGTTTACTATTTTATTTTATTTATTCTATTTTTTTTTTTTTTTTATATCCTCACTTGAGGATATGTTTTTACTGATTTTAGAAAGGGGAAGTGGGAGGTAAGGAGGGGAGGAAGTCATCAATGTGAGAGAGAAACATCAATTGGTTGCCTCCTATAGGTGCCTGACCTGGGATTGAACCTGTAACCTAGGTATGTGCCCTGACTAGGAATCAAACCCACAACCTTTTGGTGTATAGGATGATGCTCCAGTCAACCAAGCCACTTGGCCAGAGCAAGTTTACCATTTTAGATAAATTTAATGTAAAATCTAAGTAAGTTCAAATACTGCTTTGTCCATATTAACTAATACTATTTTTTAGGATAGCTGGTGCTATTTAGCTGTTAGATCAAATTCAATATATGACACTAACTTTCACAAAAGCTGCTTAAAATTTTAAATAATTTCTTTTTTGACCATATACCTCATAAACTTTTCAAATAAAAGTAACCAAAAGAGTTCTTATATTACATAGGTTTTCTTGTACTAAATAAGTTTTCTTATATAAAATATACCATTTTATTATTAAATATTTTAAAGTAATTCTAATCTCATTCAGCTAATTAAAGAATTATGCCAATTTCTAAAGCTTTGCTAATATCTTAAGCATATTCCTTTCATAGTGATAGTCAGCATTTGTGGTACTAATTTCATTATAATTTTTACAAATACCTATTTATTTTTATAATACATGAATGATAGTAGTAGAACAGAAGAGAAAGCAGTCCCTAAACTGAAGAAATCTACAGGTTAATAGTAATTTACTCTAAAGCAATACATTTATTTTATGGAATAATTTTTTTTTCATGATTTGCTCTTTTGGTTTTTGTTAATCACATCGTAGTTTACGTTAGCAAGGCAGTTAAAAATTAAAATGTATAGATGTTATCCTTAGTAATGATATCTTAATATATCTCACACAGAATTACCTTATACTTCAGATCACTGAGGTACAGCATGCAATTGACCAACTTAAGAGAAAATCAGATAGTGAGAAAATAAAACTCATCGTAGAAGCTAAGGTAATTTGAATTTTTCCTGATTAAATTATAACACTTATTGGTGTTTTAACTTTGGGTGTTAATAGCATAAGGGTAGGGAGTGACTTTTTAACATTGTTAGCTTAACAAAGAGCACATGTGAAAAAAAGTGCAAGTATAACTGCTAAACCCTGAAAAGATGCATGTTATATCAAAGTTAAAATTTAGTAAAAATTCCAGTAAGAATTAAAGGAAAAGAACCCTGTAAATCACTACAAAGCCTCAATAAAATATTTTAAAAGTTTTCATGTGCTAGAGTTATTCATGAATAAGTCTTACTTTTTTTCATTTAATTTTCCCCTCTCGGGTAATTATCTCATTCTCTATGGTTATATTCATTTATATAATATGAATGCTCTCAGTTCACCTCTATCAGAAATAGTTTGATGAAAGAATAATGACCCCTTGCTAGATTCAGCTGTGTCTAAGGTAACTTTCTGTGATGTTAGACATGTTCCATACCTGCACTGTCTGGTATGGTACCCACGGGCCACATAAGGGTATCAAGTACTTGAAATGTAGCTTGTAGAGTGACTGAGGAATTGAGTTTCAAATTTTATTTAATTTGAGTTGATTTAAATTTAAATAGCTACATTTGGCAAATGGCTGCTATACTGCACAGCACAGTTCTAGATTCTTTTCACTACTGGCATTCTCAAGGCTAATCCTTGGCTCAGTACTCAGAAGCTTAAAACTTAAAATACAGAAAAGAAAAAGGGCAAAGGAACATTTTTAAGTAAACAGGAATACCTAACATTATTATACAGTAGGTACTCAAAAAAATAATTGTTCAATGCATGAAACTTTGTGTATTCAATAAACAGAAGGACAGTGTGGAAATTCGTGCACTTAATAGTTGGGTGAGTAAAAGAAAGTAGTAGAAATGCCTCCAGAGCCTTCAATCAAGAGTATCAATGTTCTTTTCTTTTGGAAAGCATGCACATTAGATCGTACCATCTTTGTATATTTTAACCCTATAAATATCACTTATGAATGGTTTTAATTCATATTAGCACAAAAAAGAGGAAATACTAATAGGAAAAAGGGAACAAGTTTTCAGCTTACAGATGGGGGAGCGGATTATAACATTTAACCATTGTGCCTAATTGGCACAGTACACATCATTATTATATATTATTGAATTTGGAATAATTTACCTCATACTTACCTATAAGATTCAGAACTAAGGGTCAGAAAACCTAGCCTGAGTCTGTTGCAACCATACTCAAGTTGGTACAACATAAGCAGTGCTTCTGAAAGTTTAATGTGAAATCACTTGGATCTGACTTAAGAGGTCAGGGGTGAAGCCTGAGAGTCTTCATTCCTAAGAAGCTCCCAGGTGATGTGAATGCTTTGGTCCACAGACAATACATGGAAAGTAAGGGCTGTGGCACCAGATAGTTTGAGTTTAAATCCTGGCTGTGACACTTACTAGTTTTGTACCTGGAGTGAGTTACTTCTAGGCATCTTAGTTTGCTCAGCTGTAAAATGGGGATAAGTAGTAATATCTGTCTCAATAAAATTTTTGATAGAATCAAAGAGATTAATTCACTTAGAAGAGTGGAGTAACACTACTATATTATATTACTTAACTGTTTTGTTTCTCAGGGCTTGAAATTAAGGGTTTTTGGTAATTATGTTTTTTTAACTATTTTTACTTGAGAACAAGTTTTGAAGCTTTAGCAAAAGATAAAAAATTGTCACTTTAGTTTTTTTAGAAGTTTTATTTTATTATGATTATATTAATAAATAAAATTATTTGATAGGTTACCTAGCAGTAAATAAGCAGGACATTTGACCTATAAATTTAACCTAGTAATCTAGTGGAAGTGAAAGCATTAAAGGGAAATGAAAGAAGACAGTTAAAGTTACAAAAAAACCTTCATTCAGATGACAATTATGAATTTTAGTAGGGTAAAATGAAGCTTATTTATGAAAGATAATTCCTTTTATAGATGAGAAAACAAGCAATTTCAGATGTACGCACACTGAAAGCTGAACTGACACAGAATAAAATTCATACATCTTTACAGCCTCAATTAGGTATGTAAAATATTAAATATTTATTTGATCAGATTTGCTTGACCTTTGTGCTCCGTGGCAATCTTTTATGTAAATGATAAGATTTATATTTTTCACCAAATCCTTTGGTATTACAAAGGAGTTCAGGAAACATTAGATATATAAAAGTAAAGTGATGTTCATTTGGTTATTTTTGATGATTTCTAATCTATTGCATATTATTCAACAGTATATTTTTAAATTTGTATTTTTAAATAATTTTAAAATTTAATAACTAATATGACTAAATAAGATTAAAAATCTTATTAATAAATATTAATATATTTGCATATAAATACTGTTTAATTTATTCTTTGTACTTTAATTAAAAGCAATGTGGAAATACAAAAGAATAGGGATATTGAACTTGTACTCAGAGCTATGACAGAGTTTAGTGTCTAAGAATTTAAATTTTTTAGTACTTTATCTGAAGACATTAGAAACTTGGTAAACTGGATAGAAAATGTTTGCTTTTAGTCTTCCATAATAACTGTGTAAGTAGGAAATGGAATATTCTCAGAGCAGATGACTGAATCATCATTTATTTCAATTTAGAGGGGGAAAATGTACAGAGAATGCAGGATTTATGTAAGTCCAGAGTTCAAGGATACAGACTTTTAACCTAATTATTTAAAGGAATTAATGTAAGTGCAACACAATGTTCTTAATTGCCTTGAGAAAAAGAACATTTAGAAAGGTTCTCCCCTGGCTGGTGTGGATCAGTGGATTGAGTGCCAGCCTGCGAACCAATGGGTCTCTGGTTCGATTCCCAGCCAGGGTTGCAGGTCAGATCCCGGTAGGGGGAGTGTGAGAGGCAACCACACATTGATAATCTCTCCCTCTTTTTCTCCCTCCCTTCCCCTCTCTCTAAAAATAAATAAATAAATAATCTTTTAAAAAAAAGATTCTTTGCACAAAATATCTCTTTTAGAAAGAGAAGCTGCTTGAGAAAACAATCTTTAGATGATTAAAAGTAAAATGCAGATACAGAAAAAAACGTAATCGTGAAAACTAGCCAAGAAATACAGTATAGGTGTCCATAAGTGAAGGAATATTAATAATTGGAAGAGTAAATGACAACGGATGAAGGGCACATGACAATGGGTAGAATCAGGTTCAACAGCAAGTTCCCCTATTGTAAAATATCAGATATAACCACATATAAACAATGTCATCTATAACTACATGTAAAAATTTAGTTGGAAAATAATAGGTACATCAAACCTATTAATTAAAAATATTACATTATCTTCCTGTACATTTTAATATTTTATATTCTCTACCCTCCCCCTTTGGAGGTTTAACTCATATGCCTCCGAGAGCATGAGTAACATATGGAGTCAGGAAAATTATTTATAGCAGTTTGATGACCCTAAACAGGAGAATGAATTGCAAGGTTTAAGGTTAGATTTATTGGAAAAAAAGTACAAAGTAAACTGCTTCTCAAAGACTAGGATTTTAAAAATCGATTCTAAGCAAACATTTCTACTTCAAATTATGCATACTTAAAAATTAGCATTTATTTGTAAGCATAAATGTTAACATTAAGGGGAAAACTTAGCATAATACAATTCTGAAAGCAGTTGTTCCTAATTATAGTATTAAAACATCTGATAGAGGAATAATTAATATAGTATGTTGACTTATTTCTTACCTTTATGTTTCTTGACAATTAAGATATCTATATATATGTGTCTTTCAAATTCAAAGTATTTCTTTATATGTTTTTGATTATACTGATAAGTAACATATATAGACACATGACAAAAATGTATAAATTTTTTATTTCTTCAAGAAACCAAATCTGTTTACACAGATCATTTTCTAAATATTAAACTTGACAAAAGATGTTTGTGTGTGTCACAGTTTTGGTGTTAAGACTTTCCACATTTCTTCAGTTTGCTGTTTGGCTGTAGCATCTCCAGAGTAGTCAAGGCAGTTGGCATTCCACATGCCAATGCCCCGTAAGCCACGGGTTTGTGTATATGCTGCCTTTAAAGAAATGCTCTTCGGGTTATCATACCACACTTGATGAAAATGGCCCACAGAGTCCTATACAAATAAATGAAAATGGAGATTTTAAGTATTCAGTACAATAAGAGAGAAAACATTTCTTAATTTCAAGAATTTGAAAAGGATACAATGAATAATGAAACTTTAAGGGCACACTTTCCAGCTCTGTGACTCCATGGTTCTCATGTGAGACTTTGTAGATACCATCGCTTGTGGCACTTTTATAGCAATGGAGGTTATGCAAATAAGCCTCTTAATATCTTATATTTAAGGTCTTTTTCTTACTTAAAATTCCTTCCTTGCCCTCTGACATGCTGATTCAGGGGACCCATACCACATGATACCTACTGATTCAAAACTTTCCAGGGCTAGTGCTCTGATAGGTATCTGTTTTGTGTTTTACGTTCCATTAGGTATTAGGATATGCAGCCAAGGCTAAGGAGGATCACTGCTATGGTTCTCTGAATCCAACTTGCACACTTTTTTGTATCCCCTACAGTTTCTAGTTAGGAGCTAAACAGATGCTTTTGTTTATGATGAATTAGTCAAATCAAAAGGAGGTAATGACAATACATGAGGAAAGTAACTCCTTTTCTAGGTCTTACAGAACTGATCGAAGGGCCTATCAGGTCTGGACTCCATGGATGCCTTATGCACACAGCTGATGAAGAACGATGAACTAGAAAATGCTGTTATACTCACCTTCCACCCTGTAAAGTCCTTCTCCCCAATATTTATTCTACCTAGTATTAAGAGCCTATCTTAGAAAGGTATATCATCAATTGGATAAAGGAAAGTGGAAAGGGGCAGATCTAGGCAAAAGGGTAAAGAGGGAAACAGGAGGTAGAGAAATAGAATGATCTGTGATTAAAAATAATTTATTGATTTTTATATACATCTGGGAAAAACTTTTAAAGAGTTCTCCACTAATGCTGGTAACTTTTTTTTAATGGTAGCACCACTGGAATTAGAATAGCTTCCTGACATGACTACACTGAAGGGCAATAGTCCCTTGGTAAATAAATAAGTTATGGCATATTTAAGTATAGTAGACTCATTACATACAAGTATATCCTATACTGTATCTTATATCCTGTTCTTTCAAATATTTAGAACTTAAAAGCCATGCATGTTCTAGTAACAATTGTGACTCACCATTTAAAGGCAACTTGAAGAACTCATACCTAAATATACAAATATTTATTTTTGAAGATTTAGGAACAAAGCTAAATACATATACCTTTGAATTTGCCATCATTCTAGCTAGTACTTTGAGCATATTTGTCACTGTTAAGAAATTTCAAATGCCTCAAAATAGTGAAGGATCAAAGGATGAAAAACAGTATATTTAAGATTGATATATGCTTGGTTAAGGCATAAATGCCTTCAAGACTATCAAGCACCAAGATGAAGCAACTATTGCTGAGACAGCATAAGAAGGCAGAATGATTCTCTTCAGTAATACCAGAAACTTGATTTTGGCTGCTACAAGTTTTACAATGAATAAAAAGAGAAACAAAAGAGGTATAACTAGATTATTGTCTAAAGTGCCTGTAAATGAATGGTCTTCAAGGATCCTCAAAATGTTTCCTGAACTCTAAGACCTTAAAGAATGTGTCTTCTTATTCAGTAAGGAAAAAAATAAGTCAAGGATTCAAAGACACTACATTACAGTGTCAACTATTATCCTATATTGCATATTTCTAAATTATGTATAATTGGTTACATACAGTCTTTATAAAACTGATATCCATGAAACACTCTTCCCTCTACATGTTTCTAAGAGTGCTGGGAAACAAGGTTCTATGTTAAACAATTAAATGGATTATGTAGTGCAGCACTTCTCAAATCCTCTAATATAATGTACATTTTAAATCTTCAAGAGGGACATAAACTGTGCATTGTCTTCCAAATTTATTTGGCCATGGGCGGGGGTGGGTGGTGGGTGGGTGGGGGTGTGTGTGAGTGTGTGTGTGTGTAATATTTGGCCATGGGGGTGTGTGTGTGTGTGTGTGTGTGTGTGTGTGTGTGTGTGTGTGATATTAACAGTTCCCAGAACTATAAATACTGTTTGGCAAAGGCAAGGTCACAGTATGCCTTAATTTAATTACTAGGCATGTACACTAGATTCTAAAGTTTAAAAAACCTTAAAGTTTTTTTCTATATAATCAATATACAGGCATGTATAGATTTAAATCCATTGTAATTTATTAAATATGTATATTTGCAGTCATTTTTTAATTAGGGTACCAGACCATTAGTTAAAAATAGATATTCTGCCCTGGCTGGTGTGGCACAGTGGATAGAGCATTGGCCTGCAAACCAAAAGGTCAGTGGTTTGATTCCCAGTCAAGGCATATGCCTGGGTTGTGGGGCCACGCCCCCAGTTGGGTGCATGCAAGAGGCAACAGATCACTGTTTCTCTCCCTCTCTCTAAAAATAAATAAGTAAAATCTTTTAAAAAATAGACATTCTTACTAGAATTAAGTCATATCATTTTAGAGCTCCTTTTACAGTAACATAATCCAAAGTGAATTCAAATATAGTCTGTACTTAGATTTGCAAAGTATGAACAGTTTTTATTACGCAAAAGGTAAACTATGAAAAGTATAACTTTTCTTGGTCTCTTTGGTATTGCAATTCCTTTTTATCAAATACTACCTGACAATTACTAATCATTCACTCAATTTCTTCAAGTATGTTTGTTGTATTTTTCAGTCTCTAATTTTAACATTGTTACTCATTTGTCTAATAGCACATATTTTGATTGAATTGTGAAATAAATTTGAAATGGCGCCCTTTATTATTGTAAAGTTCATGACGGTGCATCTCTTGTTTTCAACCATTACTTCCTGCGTAAGAGCTTTATCAGTGTCTTTATCTATTTTGAAATGGAGACTTTCAGAGCAGGCAACCTATTCTGGCTCAAAGCTTATTAGAAGCCATAGCCATTACAAATATTTGTCAATTACTAAGGAAATCCTATTTTTTAAATCCTCACACAAGGACATTTTCTTATTGCTTTTAGAGAAAGAGGAAGGGAGAGAAAGAACCATCAATGTGAGAGAGAAACATCAATTGGTTGCCTCCCATATATGTCTGGACTGGAGAATGAACCTGCATCCTAGGCATGTGCCCCAACTGGGAATCGAACACACAACCTTTTGGCTATGGGGCAACGCTTCAACTAATTGAGCCACACTGGCCAAGGCAGAAATCCTGTTTGTGATGTGCATGTTTTTATTACACCACCCACAATGACAAGTGTCCCATGCAGAGCAGTTCCACTATGACTATAACTTGAATTGCTCACAGGGAAGTAAAGTTCATGTTTACACAGATTTAAAGACAAGTTCACTACTGTACACAGCAGTCTGGCCCTGGCATTGTCCCACAAAGTAAAAGGTCACCAGTCCAATTCCTGGTCAAGACACATGCCTGGGTTGCAAGTTTGGTACCCACAGATTCAGTACCCAGGTGGGGTGTGTATATTAGAGGCAACCAATCAATGTTTCACTCCCTCTCTTTCTCCTGTCCCCTATAAATAAATAAATAAATAGATGAATAAAATATTTAAACAGCAGTCTGTATGTTTCACCTTAAAAGCAAACTGATAGAAATTCTCCATATCAAATATGTAATTATGGCAATATGCAATTTCAAAAATTAATAGAAGTAAATGTTCACAACTTGTGAAAAGTCTTACTTTATAGTTATAATATGGAGATTTTTGATTTTCATCCCACATGATTCCAGAAATAGAACTGTTTACTTGCTTCATAATTATTTTATAGGGCACCTGACGTCCTGCCGCATCACTGCAAGGAGCTCCCCGGAAAGGGACTTTTGCAATGGTACAAACATCATCCTAGAAATACAAATGTCCATGTTATAGATTATCAATTAGGCAAATATCAAAAACTAAATCAGAAAACTATTTATTAGAAAAATATACACTATAGATATCCTGACTATACAGTATGAAAATAAAATTTCATTATTAAGTGAAAATATAAAACACTCAGAAACTTTCATGGGATTGAAAAATTAAAAATAAATTATTCTCCTTTTCTGTCTCAAACTTATTTCAGAAATTCAAAAGTTTACATACTCTCTATACAGAATAATTTATAAATTCTAAATAGAGTATATATTACATATACATATAGATGAATACAAGATATAAAAATACAAAAGAAAGATAAAAAAATTACATGAGAAATGAGCTGTTCTTACCTCTGATAGATTCAAGCAGGTATAATCATAACCATACCAGGGAAGACCCATTACAAGTTTCTTAGGGTTAATGCCCATCTTAATGTAGTCATCATATGCTAATCAAATAGGGACAGAAAAGGCATATTTTTTCTCTTCATATGTCTACTAATATGTTCATATAAGCTATGCAGCCACTCAATCTAAATTTGTAAAAACAGGTAAATTTATGCAAAATACCAGTACAGTGTTTCTCTAATATTCTTAAAGTCATCCCTTAAAAACTATAAACTATAAATCATTTTCTAAACCTTTTCTTCTGAATAATAAAAAAACATTCAGAACAATTAAGATCAAATTTATGCAAAAAAATTACAAAATTTAATTCTAGGAAGAATGACCCATTTCAGGAAAGCACGCTGATTGTGTCTATTAATTGCTAAGACACATATTTGATATTCTAGATTCTGCAGTTTTGATAAAGCTCTGTAAGTCTTAAAATTTCTGTCCAGGAAGGTCTCAGAATTTCTTAAGAGAAAGCACAAGTGTTCCATGTTTTATAAATATCCTGAAAAGGTGAATTACAGCTGGGGATGAGAACTGTCACCCTCTTACTCTGTATTAGATAATCTGTAGCTACAGAAACAAAGAGAAGAATAAACAAATTACTAGTGCCACCAATCTCTTTATGCCCAATGCTACAAAATATGTTTCCCTACCAAGAGAAGTTCCAAGACTATGTAGAATATTGAGTTACGTAAATTTGGTACTTTTCAGAGCCTTTAAAGTTATTGTGTACCATTAAATATCCAAGAGAGGGGTGGGATATGCATCATTTCTCAAACATATGTGATTATGAACCTTTTATTGATGGAACACAATTATCTTTTTTTTTAATGAAACAGTTCAGGAACATAGATTACACAGTTATTTCTTAATTTAAGTTATTTCTTAATGTAACTGACAGAGTTACATTATTTATCAGATTTTTAATAGTATATGCTTGTGATCAGACTATTCTGTCCATTTAGGACATGATAAAACGAGGCCAGGTTCTAAGGTTTACCTCTATATGAAAAAGAAATGATTTTTTATCTATTTACCAAACAACAAATTAATCAATGCCAACTATCTCAGAAAATTTCCCTTGAATCCATAAGATAACAAGCAACCTTTTATTCAGCTGGCTGATGGAATACAAACTAATCCAAACTTCGGGACAGATAATGCAAAGACCACATTATATGAATGACAGGAGGTACTCTTAATTTTATTTATTTAAGAGGGTATACAGGCATACCCTGTTTATTGCACTGAAAAGATGTTGCTTGTTTTGCAAATTAAAGACAGACTATCCACCCACAAAATGACTACTACTTGCTTTATTTTGACACTCACTTTATTGCAGTATCTAGAATGGAGCCCACAATATCTCCTAGGTATGCAGGTAGTTTGTAATACAGCATGTGTACTAAGAGCAAAGGCCAGTTAAGATAAAGCCAATCCTGTCAATCATGCACAGAAAGTATTCACATTGTAACTATCTTTGCTATTAAATTGACATTGGATATTTCAACAAAAATATATTGTTAAATTGTAGATAAGCAAATACCTTCATGTGATTTTGAGAGTAGTACGTTGACTTGAAGTTAAATAAAACACTTGCTTGAGTTTCAACTTAATAATACTTAATGGCTGTGCCATCAAGATACCTTTCATCTCATTTGTATTAGACAGTTAATAAACAACATACTTTTCCCACAAGATTTTTAGAAGAATAAGTGAAAACTTTAAAACTTATTGTAAACTTTAAAGCTCTCCAAATTAAGTGCTTTTTATATGTTTTAAGAAAGCTTTACAATGGAAAATGAATACAGATGACTCAGAAATATTAAAATATGTCTTAGTGTTAGGTTATGGAATATTATAAATGATTATTTTGTGTATCTTACCAGTTAATGTCTGATTATAGGGAGCATTAGCTGCTGCAATACATTCTGACCAGACCTGACTTTGTTCATCATAAGACATCACAAAGAGAAAGTCACAAGCATCTGCAATTCCAGTATAATTATAGCACCTTCTGTCTATGCACTTTGGAGACCAAGCTACATCAAAGGTTACCTGTGGAGAAATGCATAACATTTTATGTAACATGATCAACTATGCATATTATATCAGATGTTTTGTTGATTACATATTCTCTGCCTCATACAACCCAAGACAACAGAAATGCTTTCATATATGAATGTAGGGTTTAACTCATGTAGAACTAGAACAGTTCTAAGAAATATATTTTTTTACCTACATGGACGGACTCAGACATATATTTAGACAATGGTCTTGATTTATGTTTGGATAGTGGACATATATTTGGACCCAGATATATTTGGACATATATAATGACCAGGGGCAGAGAACTGTGTAGAAGGGGAGTTTTAAGCTCAAATGTCTTCAGAGGTTACACTGGAAACTCACAGATTGAAAGGAATAGGTGTAATGACAGTAGGGTGTGGTGGGGCCTTTAAGCAACTGGAAAATAAAAGCAGCAAACTAAAACACTTCAAAAACAGAAGTGTGTTGTTTGTTTTTTTTTAGTTGTGCAGGCTAAACAGACCATATGTTGGCACAAGCTGACTGGCCTGTGTTGGAAATTTGAGCCCCTGATTTACAATTACATTATTGTGGTAGGTTCATTCCAACATGACAGTTAAAGAATAGTGGGGTTTTATAGATACAGGTACAAGTAATCAACTTGAAATATTGAACAAATCACTTTAATGGTCTAATTTTATGGAAATACTTTAATACAAGTTGAGTGATAAATTATCTTTCATTTTGAATGGTAAGCCAGTCTTCCACAAGTCTCTTTACCGTAACCAAATAGTCATTAGCCTTATTTTATATGTGTGCAAATAATGTAAAGTTTCATTAAAGGTTCTTTTCTTAATTAGGTTCTCAGTAAACCCATTGATTAATTATTACAAACAATTGAGACACTTTAGTTAAAATTTTTAAACTTTGGCCAATATATTCTATTACTCTTTTTAAAACAGTCTCAAACTTCTCTCTCTTAATTCTCTTAATGGTAGCACTAAAGGAAGCTCTGCTTTACAAAAAAAAAAAAAAAGGCTTATAGATTATAAAGTGAAATTTCTACCTGTTGGGCCCTGTTTTATCACTGCTTCATATTACAAAATAGGAGCTATACTATTGTAAAGGGGACATTAAATGATTACCTCCAAGCAGGCATATTTCAAATCCATTTTGTAAGCCCTTATCTCTCACCTGAGCATTAAGAATATTTTCACCTGAATTTCATGTCATAGTTAATCTCATATTTTTGAGAAGGCAGTATTAATATTTTAGACAAATCAAAATTCATTGGTTCAAGTCTTGGCGCTGTTATAACTAGGCCTATGTAACTTAAAATATCTAAATCTGTGTTCCTAACTATAAAACAAGGGTACAGAAAGAAGACTTAAGAGCATTTCTAGCTCTTTAATTCTATAACCACAATACTGTAATCCTAAATTACCATCTTTCCCCAAAAATACACTTCTCCGTCCAGACAACATTTCAGTCATTTTTATCTCTGGTCACTAGTTTAAGAACCTTTTCTGACTCCTCTTTCCTATACCCCAGCACTAATCTCACATTTATTTTGGGTAGCTTCTCATAATTGTTCTTCCTCTTCCTTTCTATTATTTAATTAATTCAATAAATATTTATTGAACACTTGCTGAGTGTTAGGGTTATGCCATCATCCCAATCCAAGCTGTAAATCCTATTATTGTATTATTGGGTGAGTCCTTACTGGTCTCCCTTTCTCCTCTAGACTGTTTTACATACTGCTGTGGAATATTCTTCTCCAAACACTTTCTACACATGTAACCTGTTTCTTACAGAATCAAATGCACACTCTTCAGTCTGATATTCTTGATCTTCCACAATCTGGCCTATCTGGGAAAATGTGCCTCCCACTAATTTACTTAATATGAACTTGACATAGAAGCCCAAATGGTTCTACTTGCCCCTCAAACATGGAAGCAGTTTCCTCAATCTCTTCCTCCTTGCCTCTCACTGTAGCTTAATAAGCACTAGAAAATAGGTTTTTTTCACATACCAATTCTAATTTACTAGTAACAGCAATGTAAAAAATGAGGTTTTTGAGACCAAATTATGTGAGGAGAGGATCAGCACACTGCATACCAGATATTTACTGTTCTTGATCTAAATTGTACTCATCTGAAAAGCTGATTTCTACGCTGACAAACTTTCCCTACCCGTGGCATAAAGCCACAGATAAATCTTTATGTCATTTATTAATTTTTCAACAATTCTCATATTCACGTTGACCAAATATACTCACATCACCTACCACAACTTGATAAAAATACAGTTCCTAGTCTCTACCCAGGCCTACTGAATCAACCACTGGGCATATTTTTTAAGAAGCACTCCCAGGTGATTCAGAGATAGGTTTAGAATCACTGGTTCATATTAATTGTATAATATATAATATAAAATATACTTTTTGTATATATATATATTTCCTAGTTAACTAGATTTTCTTTTTTTAAAAAATATGGAACACTTCACAAATTTACATGTCATTCTTGCATAGGGACCATGCTAATCTCCATATTGTTCCAAGTTTAGCACATGTGCTGCCAAAACAAGCACCTCTGTTAACTAGATTTTAAATTTTGGAAAGCCAAGTATCACTCATTCATTCAATAAACAATTTTTAAACATTGTGTTAGACATGTTTAAAGGAACTTATCCCTGTCTTCAAAAAAGTCATGGTCTAGGCTTAATATATATGTTTTTAGCTTTATTGAAGTATAATTGACAAAACTGAACTATAACTAAAGTATACAATGTAATGATTTGATATGCATGTTTTGAACAGATTCCCATCATCAAGTTAATTAACACATCCATCATGTTACATATTTACTTTTTTATTGGTGATAGCATGTTATACTTTATAAGCAAATTTCATTTATACAATACAGAATTATCAATTATAGCCACCATATTATTATAGTAAATCCTCAGACTTTATTCACTTTTTAATTGAATGTTTATACCCTTTTACTAGCTTCTCATTTCCCCTAGCCCCTGACAACCACCTACTCTGCTTCTATTCATTCAAATTGTTTTTTAGATTCCACACATAAGTGATACCATGCAGTATCTGCCTTTATTTGTCTGGCATACTTTCTTGAGCATAATTCCATCCAGCTTATTCAAGCAGTCGCTAACAGCAGGATTTCCTTCCTTTTTTTCTTCTTTTTAAAACTTGGATAATATTCCATTGTGTGTGCATGTGATCGCATTTTCTTATCCATTCATCTGTTGACAGACATTTAGGACGTTTTCATATCTTTGCTCTTATGAATAATGCTGCAGTAAATATGGAAGTACAGATACCTCTTTGAGATAGTGATTTTGTTTTCTTTGGATATATGAAATGGGATTTGTGAGTTTTTTGTTAGTCCTAAGTTTCTGGAGGAACTATTTTTCTTGGTGGTTGTACCAGTTTACATTCCTACCAACAATAACAAAGTTGTATGTTTATTGAAATTTATCCATTTAAGATATCTAATTTTGGTGTATAATCGTTCCTAGTAGTTGCTTATGATCCTTAGGATGTCTGTTTCATCAGTTGCAGTGTTTCTTCTTTCATTACCAAGTTTCATTATTTGAGTCTTCCCTTTTAGTAGCTAAAAGTTTGTCAACTTTATCTTTCAAAAAAACCCAGCTTTTAGTTTCATTAATCTTTTCTGTTGTCTCTATAGTCCATTTCATTTGTTTCCACTCTGGTGATTTCTATTTCCTTCCTTTGCTAACGTTGGGCTTCATTAGTTCTTTTTCTAGTTTCCTTGAAATGTAAAGTCAGGTTGTGTATGCAAGAGCTTTCTTCTTTCTTTTTTTTAAAGAGTGTATTTATTTATTTTTAGAGAGGGGAAGGGAGGGAGAGGAACATGGTTGTGTGAGAGAAACAGACTGGCTGCCTCTCACGTGCCCCCGGGGACCTGGCCTGCAACCCAGGCCTGCGCCCTGACTGCGAATGGGACCAGCAGCCTTTCAGTTCTCAGGCGCCATTCAATCCACAGAGCCACACCAGCCAGGATAAGAGCTTTCTACTTAATGTAGGAAATTATCAGCATATACTTCCCTCTCAGAGCTGCTTTTGCTGCATCGCATAAGTTTTAGCATGTTGTGTTTCTCTTTGCATTCGACTCAAGATAGTTTTACTTCAATTTTTATTTCATTTTTGACCCACTGGTTGTTCAGTAGCATACTATTTCCTTTGTATATGTATATTTGTATCCAATTTTCTTCTTGTAATTGATTTCTAGCCTCATACCATTGTGGTCAGAAAAGGTGTTTGATATAATTTTAGTCTTCTAAATGTGAGGTAGCAGCTACGAATGAGTGGCCAGAGGGGAAATAAAGCAGGGTCCTCACCATTACAATCTAACAAAGAATTTAAAACAGTAGGCTGGAAACAAAAGGGAGACACGTCTCACCAATTAATTCAGCAGTCCTGAGTCTGGTCTGATAAGATTGCCAGGTATTCACAACATCACAAGCAAAACTATGATAGCCAAAACTATGATAACTCAAGAGGAGGGGGGCCTTTGAAATTCATCTCCATTATCTGGGAAAGAAAACTTTTAAAACTGTGTATTGATCTCAAGGTCTAGAAGGGAAGGAGGATAGGGAACATAGAAGGTGGCTAAAGTATATAACTCTTGGATTCCTGAGAGTCGGCACACTCGGATTAGCTGAGTGCTCACTTGTAGCCAGGTCTCAAGTGTATACAACAAATTGAAGTCTCCCTATTGATTATCTTTCTGGATAATCTATCCACTGCACAAAGTTGAGTATAGAAGTCCTCCTCTATTATTGTAGCATTTCTGTCTGTTACTTCCTTCAGATATGTTAGCATTTGCTTCATATATCTGGGTGTTCTAATAGTGGATGCATATTTATAATAAGTCCATTTGATGTGTTTCATAAATTCCTTAAGCTATTCTCAGTCTTTTTCATTCTTTTTTTTATTTTTACTGCTCTGATTAGATGACTTTCTCTGTCTTTAAGGTTACTGATCCTTTGTTCTGTATGATTCAGTCTTTTGTTGAATCCCTCTGTTGAATTTTTTAGTTGTTACAGTTATTCTTCATTTCTGATTTCTGTTTAGTACTTTTTAATGTTTTCTGCCACTTTGTTGCAATTCTCACTTTGATCAGACATTGCTTTCCTGATCTCAGTGATTCACGTTATGACTGTTGTGAATTCACTATTGAGTAAATCACTTATCTCTGTTACATTAAGGTCTTTTCATAATATTTTACCTGTTATTTTCTTTGGGGTCTGGGGAGGATTGCATTCACTACCTAAATGTGTGCTAATTAGAAGCTAGATTCTTAGGCAGCAACTTGTAATCTATGCAGCCAAACCCTTCATAGGAAAATAAAGGGATTCTTTTACCTGCTCTTTCTGAGCTGAGCCCTAGTGGGAATACCCATTGCAAGTGCTCAAGTGCCTTGGGAAACTCCTCTTTGTTTGTTACCATCCTGTGGGACTGGGGAATGTAAACCCTGTTGGCTTTCAGAGCTAGGTGTTTCGGGGACCCATCCCTCATACAGGGACCTTAAAAATTGGGGCACTAAAGGTACATTCCACACCCCTCGCTCTTCAGAAGCTGGAGTTAAGGGTTCCCTCCCTATTATGTGATGCTGTGTCAGGAGTGGAGTTTATGGCAAGAGTGTGTCTCAGCCTTTCCTACCAATTTCTAAGTGGTTATTTTCTCAGTTGCCATATATGTAGCTAGATTCTGGATTTCTCTCCAAGGAAATTGTTCCATTAGCTGTACCTTCTGTATGTCCATGTGAGGAGGGCAATTCAGGAGTTACCTATGTCTCCATCTGGTCCAGAATCTCCCTGACTTAACTAGAATCACCTATGAAACTTTAAAAAGATATATGGATTCTAGGCTCACTTAAACTACATGAATAATAATCTCTGGGAGTGGGTTCCAGTGTGATTGTATGTTGTGTACTTTTTCTATGACTGTCTTGTTATCCTGATATATGTACATGTTTGAGAATCACTAATCTTGGGGCTACATTATCCTTTGTTACCCATACATTGCTGACAAGATACCTTGTGCTCTGATCTTCTGCTGTAATCACACTCATTACTGCAGCGGGGAAGCATGCTGCCTTTGGCATAGCTCTGACTAGTCCATGGAGTTAGTTCTTAGAGCCTTAGTGGGCCTTGGGGGCTTTACAAGTCATTCAAAGTCCGTAGAGCAGCTGAGACATTTCCCCAGAAGTACCTCTGCTCTGAGGCAAGAGCTGTGTCTGTCCTTTAGTGATTGAAAGCAGGGCCAGAACAACATAGCCCTTCCTGATTCTTGCTGATCCCTTTGCCTATCTAACATTTCTAGCCCTGCTGTGAGGCTAGAAGGTGGGGGAATCCATGTTATGTCTTGATGTCCATAGAGATCAGATTTAGCACCTTAAAAGTCTATAACATTTCTTTAATAAGAAATTATCAGAGTTCCAGAAATAATTTCTAAGGTATAAGTGCTGAACTTTTATCCTAGATTCTATTAGTTATACCTTTAAGAATACATCTTAATAAGGAAATTTAGGGGTTTCCTAAATATATTGGAGGAATTTTTTACCTGTGATCCCTCAATTTCACGATGGAAAGTGTCTGCAGTTTCTTTGACTAAAGCAGTCAATGCATCATATTCAGGGGTTGAACAATTAACTTCTTGCTCTATGTCTATATTAATTCCATCCATATATTGTGTTTTGGCCAAGTGAACTTGTTGAGCTATCCAGGATGTTCTGAAATTAGGATCAACGATATCCTTTAAAGATACATCTCCTGTGAAAGAAATCACATCTTTTGTGCACATAAGTTTTTCACAGTTTAATGACATTTACTTCACAAACCCATTCCAAAGAGATCAAAATGTCCTTTAAAACATCTCATTATTTTGAAATACTAAGCTCCCAATTTGTCTTCCAAATGAAGAAATAATATACCAAAATAATAAAAAGTAATTACTTATTCATCTCCAAAATAACTGTTATGAGCAATTAGTAAAATTATTCTCAAAGGACAAGCAGAAGTTGTAGACTGTGACTAGCTAAAGGTTATCATGCTAATTAGTCATATTTGGCTCAAGACGATGCTGTGGTTAATTTAATTCTTTAATATTTGCACTTGTGAAATGAATTAAACAGTATCAAGATTGAGTTTAGAATGCTTAAAAATATACCAGATGAACATGAAAGGAAAATACCAAATGATGCAAATAAGCTTACCAATTGTCTGGACACATCTGGTAAAAACCATACTCACCTTTCAGCACTACTCTGGCTCCTTTTGAATGAGCATAGCACATAAGTTCTGAGTCATATTTTCCAAAAAGTGCCACAGTTGTAATCTGTGACCAGTCATAAGATTTCCAAGTTTTGTCACCAACATCAAACACAAAGACCTGCCAGGATGACAGGGATGAACACTATCACTTAAACCAAGAATATCATGCTGACCCCCCAAAATAACATTAAACCCCAAACATATGTCAGGTACTGGGGGCACTGCGAGTATAAGAGTGAATAAGACATTGGCGTAGGGGTCCCAGTATAATTGGAGGCAAGGGAAATTAGCAGCCTGGAAAGTAGAAAAGGGTAACTAGGATGAGAAAGTGGCAAGCGCCAAGCCCTAGAGACAGAGCACAGTGGTTGTATAACTAAATTCTGAGTATGGCTCTTCCCTGGAACTGGACTGCAACAGCAGGGAAGAATCAGGGGCCTTAAAAGCCCTCTTGAGAAATTAATAATATTTTCTCCTGAAGGAAAGGTTTTTAAGGGAGAATTCACCCATTGACATTTTAGGTCTGCATTTAGGTGTGCATTTTAGAACAATCCCTTCAGCTGAAGTGGAAATGGATGCAAAGGAGGCCAAAACTGGAGGCAGAATATCTAATAGGGAAGCTGCTGGAAGAATCCGAACAAGAAATGACGGTGGCCTCAGCTGACCTGGAGAAACAGACAAACAGACATAGGTGAGACTAATAAACAGGAAAGATCCTAGGGAGGCAAAATTAACAGGACTTTGTGACGATGTGAATGAGGAAGGCAAGAGAAAAAGAGGAAGTTGATAATCCTCAAGTTTCTGGCTGCTGTAGGCGGAGCCATAGATATTGCATTTCTATGAATGATTTTTGGTGAACCTGACTTCTTAGAATAGTACTCAAGTTAAATTCTAAGGCAGGTGATGTTATGTTTTTCCAGTATTTTTACCACATGGATAATTCCAGAAGCACAGAGGGCTCACTGATTATTATTATTTTATCCCAGATAAGGTGTTAATTAATTAATTCAGCAAATAGTTATTGAATTCCAGTAAGGAATAGGGAGAGGATGTTGCTAGGCTTTAGTGACAAGAGATTAAAAAGAGAGAACGGGTCCATTGTTTGAGTACAATAGTGTCCAGGGCTGCATGGCAGTGCAGGAGCCCGGACAGCGTGTGAAGGGGAGCTGCTTCCCCAGTAGAGCAGGGAAACTTCTCTGAGGACTATACTTTCAGGAAGGGGCTGAAATCTGGAGAATGATCTGGACAGAATGGAGGAGATGTGCCTATGGACCAAAGAAAAGCATTTTGAGCAGAGGGAACAAAAAGTGCAAAGGTTTCAGTCCCTCAGGAGACTTCTGATTTTATGAAACCAAAAGAAAGTCCATGTAGCTAGAACACAATCCTGTACATGCATGGAATCGGATAAAACTAGTAAGGTAGGTCGTGGCAAAATCAAATGAAGTTTTGTAGGCCAGAAAGGATTTTGTATTTCATCCTGAGATCAATGAGAAGTCAACAGAGTATTTTAAGCAGGGGGGTAGCTTAAGATTTGCTTTAAGAAATAAGAGAGAGAAGTGAGGGGGAGAGTAACTGATTGGTTACTGGTCCACTGAGAGCATAGATAGGGAAGATTCGTGGGGAAAGCTAGCTATTAAAGATAAACTGGGCATTTCTCAATTCTCAATTTTCTAATTCCTGGATTTATGTTTTGTTTTACTTTTCAGAATTCTCTGTGCATAACTCATTTTTCTGCTACGCAGTTGTCATTGAAATGATAAAAATTAGAAAATGTGAAATTGAACAGCTCATTGTTTTTAGACTCATATTTCCATCATAAACCTTATCCCCTATTTTAATTCTGATAATTAAAATTGAATTTGTTAAAAAAAATTACTGATGGCCTGTGACATAATAGAAATCCTAAAAAATAGCTGGATTAACCAATTGAAAATACAAGCTATATAGTCTAATCATGGGATTTGAAAAATATAGAAAAGGTCAAAAAAGAAAAAGACCATTCACCATGAACATACAACGAACACAATTTTGCTTGTTTGCATAACGGGTTTTCCAAATGCCCATAAACCCTGTCTAACCTTCTAAGGGGTGTTCTCCATCATAAATATTTTCTCCACTTTTATTTTTTTCTCCTCAACAATGTGTACATGCTGTTTTTATTGTCACTGAAATGCCACAACATCAAACTTATCTGCTAGATTAAGAACTGGCAATTGTCCCGACATTACAAAATAATCCCCTTTGGACTAAGCCTTTACACCTGATGTCCATTCCTGCTGCAGTCATCAAAATCTAGGCAGTCAGGCAGTTTTCGTGATGCCCCCAAAACAGTCTGACTAAAGTTGCAAAGGCCTTAACAAATCGTTAGGTGTAAAAGGAAAATTTATTGAAAGACCTGTTTTTATCCACCTTTGAGTGTGATTTCTGATGTGCCTCAAGGAAAGGGGTGGTGAGTACAGAAAAGCAAAGATAAGCAAAACACTCTGCTCTCCAATGCATTGTTGGAGCACCGAGATTCTTTCAAACTGAATCCTCATTCTCTTGAAAACCACTGGGTCTTCTGGCTCAGGGAATAGCTCATTATCCAAGCTCCTTGCCTGTAAGCCTAGAGCGCGCGGCAGAGACGCTGCTGGGTAATTAGAGAAGCTTCTGTTTGGAGTCGGACCTGAGTTTGAATACGACTTGCCTGCCTCTTCCAGGCAGTCACTTGCTATCACACGTGGGAGGAGTTACCCAACCTCTCTGAGCCAGTTTCTCATCTACCAGATGAAGGAAATGCATAAACAGAAAAGCCCCGGGCGAGTGGTTAAATGGGTTTCCGCACCCACACCACCCCTTTTTAGGGATTCTACTCTAACTTCTCTTCAGGCTGGGAGGAGCAGAGCCGGTGAAGGGGAGCGGGGGAGGGGGTGGGTGAGAGACGCTCACCTCGAAGTTGGGGAGGTTGCGGATGGGTTGGCACAGCGCTGGATCCTGGCACGGGCAGTCGGCCCCAGCCCCGAGCGGCAGCAACAGCAGCAGCGGCAGCAGCTGAGCGATCCCAGGGGCGCTGCTCCCCCGCCGGGGTAGGAAGCGCCAGAGTCTGAGCAGTGGTCTGTACATGCTGGCGGTTTCCTCGGGCCCGACGGGGAGGGGCGGAGCCTGCAGCTTTACCGAAGGGGCGGGGGTAGGCGGTGCTGCTGGGCTGGGAAGGGGCGGGGCTGGGAGTTAGCCGAGTTTAGATGCCTCGGGGTTGAAGTAGAAGGAGCTCTCTGAAAGGCGAACCCAGTGAGCCAAGGCCTCTGCCCAGCAGTTTTGACTCATCAAGTAGGTCTCATCTGTACCTTTCGTTCGTATCCCCAACAACACTCTGAGGTTGTTCGTTGTGTACTCCTTGTGGAGTCGGCAAGTGCAGGGTTTCCCCCACGTGGAGAAGTAGATGTCCTTGAAAAGGAAGGAAGAGTGACGGAGTTGGAATAGCCAAAAGATTTTTTAAAGATAAAGATAAACATTCTGAGTTAAGAAGGTGGTTTGAATACAGTCATCCACTTCCTCAGTAAAACAAAACAAAACAAACCAAAACCCTAAGTCCACAGGGACGAGGAGATGAGGAGATGACAGCTACAATATTTTGGAAGCTGGAAAGCACAAGTGTGAGATGTAACTGCCCCAAGCTCCAGCAGTGGGGAAAGCTGAGAAACAACTCAATTTAAACTACAGGCACCTCGGAAGGTTCTGGAGCTGCAAGAGGTGCCTGAGAAAATAGGATTTCGGGGGGTAGGAGGGGGGATGAGGTCGAGGGTGGAGTAGATTTCTGAAAATTAGGGGGAATTGGTGAAAGCTGCTTGAGAATCGCTAGATTTTTTCCCTCCCGTGTTGTGTCTCTAGGCAGCCGTCCTCTTCCCACCGAGGCTGAAGTTCTGAGGTTTAATTCTCGGGAAGGAGTAAAATCTGTAGAAGAGCTTGGATACTATACCTAAAAGGGGAACTAAGTGACTTTGGGCCTGACCAAAGATATTGACATCAGGGCTCTTCTCCACAAACCATGCACCAGATCACTCTGTACTGAAATTCAAAGTCAAGAGCCTGACCTTCTCAGAGCTTTCTCTCTTTTTACTTTCCTTTTTAAGTCATAAATAGCAAACAAGAAAATCCAATAATATAAAAGAAAGAGGCCTGAACAACAACTATTAAAAAAGTGAATATGGAAGAAACAGAGACTGCAGGGTGAATACTTTTCAAAACTCTCAGAAATACTCCCAGAACTTTAAGAGAAAATGTAGCCTCTATAGGATGCAATTTAAAAAAAAAAAAATGGGGATGGGTGGAAAAATGGAGTTCTTATAAATTAGAAAGAAGATAGCAGAAATGAGGGGAAAAATTAAAGACAATTTAAGGAAAATAGAGCAAAAATACTCTTCAATGAGAAAGATAAGAACATTAAAAGAGTAGTCCAGAGGAGAAGAAATCAAGTAATTCAAGAAAAACTTTCAGGACTGAAAGATATGAGTTTTCAGAATGGGAGAGCAAAGAATAGGTCCTAAAAGCTTCTAAAGAGAAAAAAGGTCACATAGGACAGAAAATCAGAATGTCATCAGCTTTCTCAACAGCAACATCTGAAGCTCAAAGATAATGAAGCAATGTATTTGAAATTCTGAGAGAATATGATCCCACATAAAATCCTGCCAAAATATCAGTCAAGTGGAAAGTCATGAAAACTTTCAAAGTATTACCTATTATACATGCTTTCTCAAGAAACTACTAGAGAATGTGTTTTACCAAAACAAAGAAAGAACCAAAGAGGAACAAATGAGATACAGGAAATAGGAGCTCTAAGGCAGGAGAAAGAAGATGTAAATAACTACCCAACACCCCGCCCCCCAAAAAAGATGGTAAACCCCATAACTGCTAAGGATCACAGAACATCAAGTTCAGGTTAAATCATGCTGGAGAACTTGTAAATAACACATAGAGCCACTTATCAGAAGTCGTCCCCTCTCCAGAGTGAACAGGTAGTCAAGATGAAAGTCAGAGAAAAACATCTTTTTATTACTGAGATACACAATAATGGCGGTGTAGGAATGAGACTGATTGATAAACTCAATAAAGTAGTATATTCTTAAATGAATGGTGTCACTGAATCTAGTTATCTTTTAACCAACAAGGAGAGAGCCTTCTGATTCCCATAGTATCAGACTATTCTGTAATAAAAAACAAAACACATACATACCTGTGCGGGGGGTTCCCAAGACCTCTCCCAAGTTCAGTAATTCACTAGAAGGACTCACAGGGCTCAGAAAAAACTGTACTCACAGGTAAGATTTATTACAGCAAAAGGATACAAAGCAAAATTAGCAAGTGGAAAAGGAACATGGAGCAAATGCTGGAGGAAACCAAGCACAAGTATCCAAGAGTTCACTCCCTAGGAGTCACACAGGACAGGCTTAATTACTTCAGCATCAAAATGTGACATGTGCGAAATGTTGTCCACCATGGAAACCCATTAGAGACTCAGGAAATGACAGAAACCAACCAAAATCCAAGTTCCTTGAGGCCAGTCAAGGGCCAACCTTGCAAACATGCCTTTCTAAGGATGGCACCCTCAGGCCTGTTGCATTCTCTTTTCTACATACCACCCAAATGAGGAATTGTTATATATTTGTTTATACATAGGACATATATATGCTATGCATACACAAGAAGCTAGTAACAGCGTTTGCCTCTGAGGAGAGAAAACTGGGTACCTGAGAGAAAATGGATTGAAAGAGACTTGCTTCTCACTGTTTAGGCCCTTGTTCCTTTTCAAACTCTTATATATGTATTATCAGAGAAATATTTAAAGAACTATAACTTTACATACCTTTAACCACTCAAATTTTCCTTGTTTCTCTAGATATGAGCAAAACAAAATACTCCAACTTGCCCCAAACAGATTCTTAGAGTAAAAAAACTCCTCCAAGGGCATAGATAGGTCTTCCTGGAACGTGCAGCTACCAAAGTTTAACATTCAAAGCCTCAAGCAGTATTTTCTGCAGAGTCTTTAATTAATATGTGGTGAAAGAACAAATACTTGAATACTTCCAATAAAATTGCTTTGAAACCTATAAGTAGACAGTTCATATAAATAACACAATCAGGGGATGAAAATGCTCAGATTGTTTAATGTGACCTATTATAACCTTCTAATTTTCTGAACTCCAATCTTCCCCTCCTCTAATATGAGCAATAACTCTATGGTTTTCAAACCTTAGCCTTGGTAATAATTACCTACACGGCTCAAAATGCAGAGTCCTAGGCCCTACCCCCAGAGACTCAGATTCACTAGGTCTGTATGGGCCAAGAATGTCAATGTGAAACAAGAGCCCCAGGTAATTGTGATGCAGGTGGTTGTGGTATGTAAGTGGAGAGACACTGCCACAATTAAATGCTTTCATATCCTTTCTGAAGTACAGGTTGTTTTTGTTGTTGTTTTGTTTTTTTACATCCTACCACCTTTTCAAAACTCTTTCCCCATTTAGTACAGCAGAGTTTCTTAAACATAAGGGAGTTCACGATTCCTTCTGAGGATCTAAAAATAGCTATGAACACTCTCTTTAGAAAAGCTCATGAATATTCATGCAAATTTTGTAAATAGTTTATTTTATTTTATTATTTATTTTTAGAGAGGGGAAGGGAGGGATAAAGAGAGGGAAAGAAACATTAATGTGTGATTGCCCCTTGAGGGCCCCATACTGGGGACCTGGCTCACAACGCAGGCATGTACCCTGACTGGGAATCGAACCAGCGATTCTTTGGTTCACAGACCAGCGCTCAGTCCACTGAGACACACCAGCCAGGGCCAAGTGTCACTTTGTATGTTGTCTCTCTGTACATACTTTCCATTATAGCCCCGCCCATGCTTCTTTGTACTTATTTAAGTCCTCCCACTAGCCTTTATGCTCAAGGCATAGTTGTCTTTCTATCACTAAAGTATGACCTAGTACTGGCTATTAATAGGTGCTCAGTAACTAATGATGAGTAACCTGAAGCCAGAGGTGGTGTCTTGTTTATCTCTGTATATTATACCTAGGATAATGGCTAGCAATTAATTAGCACTCAGATGTTTAATTAATTAGAAAGAACCAACATTGGTAAGAGGAAACTGAAGAGATTATAAAATAACACTTAACTGCTTTATGTGAGCTGAAGCTGCTGTGACATTACATTAACTATATTAATCATGGTACTGAGAAAGCAAGCTTAGAATTGCCACTTTTAAGGAACCATGGAGAAGAGGAAGGCAATGATTTATTGAGTATTTACCATATGCTGGGCTTTATGAAGTGTTTTACATACACAATTTCAGTCTGGGGCTGGGAAATGTGGCTTCTGCCCGTAGATTCTAGAGTGATTGCTTGAGCCAATCCATCTGCTAGTCCTGAAAATGCTTTTTGCCCTACTTGATTATAGCATTTCATATTCCCTACATTGTGTGTATGTGCCTCTATGTGTTTAAGATTACATTGTAACAAAATAAAGAACAGGTATAGCTTTTTGAAAATGGAATGAATTGTTTGGGAAGAAATTTCTTCCACTCCCAAGGAAGCTGAAACACAAGCTGGGCTGTCTTCTTGGTGAGAACTGATGCATCTGATAGATGATCACTCTAGTGGATTTTAAGTTTTTCCTACCAAGGAGGGGAGGATGTAGTGGTGCATCCAATACAGGATCAGCAAACTTAAAAAAAAAATATGTCTAGCTCTTTCTGTTGTATTCTAAGAGATAGGAATAAAGTATTTCAGTACAAGAATCTGTAACTTGTCCCACTGCAAAGAATGCATCCAGGCACCTCCTTTATTTTTCCTTCTAAACCCTCCAGATCTTTGAGGAAGACTCTTCTTCAGGGTCATTTGCTCTTCGTGGTGCTTTCTATGTATGACTCCAGCAAGAAGATCATTTCATCCACCTGGGTCTCACTGGCATCCAACTTGTTGACATTACGTTTTAAAGCCTCTAGCTGCTGGCGTTCAGGGGCTGTGATCATCTCTTCTATTTCCTGTAGCTGTGCCTCCTCTGCACCTGTAGCCTGCATAGATGCAATGATGGCTTCTATCCTTTGAGACTTTTCTAGTAGATGCTTGTTCTCTCTGGTTTCAAATTGCCTCCTTTCT